AATTACTAAATTATGATTTAAAACATGAATTTTGGTTTAAAAAAAATGTAAAATTTAAATTTATCATCAAACGATGGATTAAAACCAAACCAAGTTCAATCCAATTATCATCAAATTTGATCGCTCAAAAGATTTTATAAAATCATTGAATAGCAATTTCGAAAGGAGTAACGCGAATAACTAATGTAACATAATATTATGATGGTTAAATTAACTCGGGCTAACTAATAAAAGACCTAAAGTCATAAGTGTTTTAACAACCAATAGCACCCATATAATATACATTGAGTGCATATTTGGCATGGAGTATCGGATAAAAAGATAAAAAGTATAATGAACAATATATCAACTTGTTTCTTCCTTAATATTTATACTATACAGTGTCTCGAGCAAATAAAAGAATTCATGATGCTAGACATTTACAAGAGCTACAAGCTTCGTGTCGTGCAATGTTCAAAGCACAAGGAAAAAACACTCATAGGTTTGAAATTGTGAACACTAATAAAATATTTAGTATGGTCGAATACACGAAATGAAACAAAAACCAAAGAAACTAAAGTCTTGTCCATCATCATGTTCAAACCTGAGTGGTATTGCATACCAAACACGTCACAATGGTTTTGCACAAGGCAATTATACAATCAGAATTCCAGCAATTTGTTTGAAAAGCATATACCACTTCCTAGCTGACTAATACACATTCCCAGCTAGTTATTAATCCAGAGAACAGAAGGAATCAAGGAATAAGTCTATAGTCGACGAGTATGAGATGAATATTGATGATGCCTTCCAAATGTAGAAGGCTGATGATTATAGAAGACTGCCGTTCCACGAAGAAAAATTTGCCAGATTGGAATTTATTTGACGGTCGATCCAAGGATTCATGCATTGCTCTTCAGCTTTGACGTCTTCTGCTTGACAAAGAAGTTCGACAGCACACTTTTACTACGAACAGGGGCACGGACGATCTCTCTTTGCGTTGGATGATCAAATGACCTAAATGGAGTCATAGGTTTCGAGCCCTCCAGAAATTCCTGCAAAAGAAACAACTTCCTAGTAAGTTATTACTCTCACACTCCCATGATACACGACGGCCTCCGAAAATATTTCACTAGAAATGAAAATCCGAACAAACTAAAGAGCATCCCTCCTCCCGGAATAAAACTGAAAATAGAAAATGCCAACAATTCAACAGCCCATCCTCACTCAATAACTGGAAAAAATATGATGCGCGCAACTGCTGGAAAATTTTGACATTACCCGCCGTGTGACTAGCGTTGGAATAGAAGTAGCTGCATCAGAAGCTGGAGTGGACTTCATCTTGGTACTCTCGTCAGCATCTGCTTGGCAAAAGTGAAGGGAATAGAAGTAAACACCTCTATTTATGGAGCATGCATCATCAAGAAAATAAGATCAAGTGTACTCTGTTGCTTACCCAAGTTAAATGCACCACATGTTTTTCTAGAAATTTTTGGGTCTGCATTGCTGCAAAAGACAAGGAAAAACTCTTCATGCTTTTTAAAAGATTTAATGGCAACCCTCCTTAATGCAGCAATAGGCATAGTTTCGTGTATTAACAACTAGGAAATGGAGTTCAAAGACCAACCTCAACATCCTATGGGGAGATGGTTTCAAGGTAGACTTGGTTTCTGATGCTAAATGCCAGGAAAGAGTTTTTGCTGCGGAAGAACCTGAATGAAAGTGCATTACCAAGTTACAAAGATCCACACTTTAAATCTCAGCAAACAAGCAATTCGTACACCATTACAATCATCAATACAGAGCTGAAAAGATAAATTACCTGAAGGATAGCTATAAGGCCTTGGCCGGATACGTTGACTAGCATCTGTCTGTAATTGTGGGCTAAAGTGTACCTTCTTGTTGACAGAATCTAGCTTGGTAGTCAACCAGGGGAAAAATGAACAAGGGAATGAAAGATTATTGATCTTTGGCAACAAGTTTTTAAACTTATCCACTAATGGCTAGTCTTACTTGGCAAGATATAATGCTTGTGATGCCTTGGGATGATCGCTAACAACTGCTGCTGCCTAAGACCTTCTTTTCCAGCATAACTTTGGCATGTTAAAAGTTGCTGACATCAAAAATTAAATTTCAGCCTCCATGGTGAGTTGATTCCCTGAAACATCTTCTCTAACTGAAAAGTGAAAGCTACCTGATTTATAGATGTAATCTTTAAATCCATGTTTGAAATATCCAAGGTCTGCTGGTCCAAAAGGTCAGTCAGTTTGTAAGCAACGGTGCCAAGGTGGTCAACAGCATTGACCAGAGCTCTTACAGCATAGTTCTTTAGGTTATCCAGCACCCTAGTAGGTAAATTAATGCATTGAGTAAAACTAAACTTCCACAGCTAGAGAAAATAAGAGACTAAGAAAACAAACGATTTAGTGGAGGACAATGAAAACATCACGAAAATTAACATAAAAGTTATAATATCACAGTACATAACATCATACTCATGAACTCCAGCTCCACCGAAAGAAAAAAGGCAAGAGAAAAATGGAAATGAATCTAACTCTGGCAGATTCATACAACATGCTCTTGCTCATCCATTAAATAATTAACAGAGAGATTAATATTCCAAGCATAGTTATCACAAGAAGGAAATAGAACGAAGTGAAGCTTGTGACAATTTACTACGTAATTCTTTGAAAATGTGAACTGGTAGAAAGTGATTCCATAAGAATGTCAAGAATGAGTATGATTAATAAAATTGAATGCAAAAATATTGGAAGCCAGACATACTTTTGGATGATATCCTGTTGATTTTTCAGGTCTATTTTCCAAGGACAAGATAAAGAAACTTATCTCAACAAGTTTGAAAGAAACACGAGGTAGGTGGTTTTGTCCATGTCTTGCATAGACATAAAAATTCCAGTTTCCATGCAACAATGTGAACCTAGTACAAGATATTAGAAGATGAAGAGGTAGACCTAGACTAATATGTTCTGTGGTTGCAGAAGTCTTAATCTCATTAGATCTTCGGTAGATATAGTGACGCATCAAACTGAGTCAATAAAAAATGATTAATGTGCCCAACTGTAGGTTTGTTATTGTTGAATTTATTTTCCAGGGCACTGGCCACCTGCTTGCTGCCAGGCAAGTGACAAGTGACAACACTTACGAGGAGGAAAACATCAGTGTTGCCTTCCAAATTGTCAACAGCACTCTCAATATCATAATATTATACCCATAAAAACCTCCTTAATTTATCTATTCCACTCCAACCAAGCGGACATTTAGACATACTGTCTCTGTGTGTGTGTTTTTACAATCATTCAAATATCATTTCCATCAACTGACGATTAATTATTTCCAATTGCTAAAATTTGGTGCAAAGTCAAACTAGGAACAAAACAAGCAAAAGCAAATATAAGACTTAAATGCAGGACTCTTAGCCGCTTTTGCTGCAGATCTCATAGCCGTGTTTGTCTTGCATAAATTTCCATCCTCATACAGAACTTTTACATATATTAATGCAAAGTAAAAGATATTATGCAAAAGATCTTTAGATTAAAAATAAGCAAAAAGTATTTTATTAATTAATGGTACTGCCTTACATTTGCTTTTGCTCATTCTGAAGGTATGACTTTTCACAGTACTCTGCAGCAGAATAAAGTTGAGGCCTGAGGTTCTTCAGTTCCTGAAACAGAATTATCTGATGATTAAAATGAATCTACATTTTCACCGAAATCAGCAAAACAGTTGTGCCGGAAACAAATTGCTAGCATGTCAACCAACATACAACCACACTTGACCCCAAAAAAAAAAAAAAAAAAAAAAAAAAATTGAGAAATTCAACAAAGCAATTAATTATGCAATATAGCCCAAGAGGTGTCTGTCTGATGCAATAGACAGATATAAATTGTATGGACATTCTCTTAACTTCATACAAAGGGTTCATTGCTTTCTCCATGAATGAAGCTGTAAACAGATGTTAACTCAGATGTCGAGTAGCTGTGTCTAACTAATCCTTCATGACATTTGGCCGGGAAGTATGTAAAGCTTGCCTTGTCTGAAAAGCAATATTCCTTAGAATTGAGAACTCATTTCAGTTGCTGGTAATATAAATATAAATATCATAAGAGTAAGAAATGAAAGCTACACCTCAACTCTTTGCTTAAAGGAGGAAAAATTGCCTCGATTATCACAATGAGTTAGTTAACACCTAGTCCTTTGCAAATGGTCAATAAAAGAGGTAACATGCTTGCTAGAATTGCCTGAAGTTCTATTTGATAAATAAAAATGTCTAATCTTAATTCTGCAGAAGGATAAAGATGACCACCAGACAGAAAGAAAAACGATTACCATCCTCCAATTTCCCTCTTTAACCCAACTAAAATTAAAAAGAAAATGGAGAAAAATAAGGACTCTTCTCCATAAATATCATTCAGTTACTTTTTTTTTTCTCCTATTTCATTTTTTCTAGTTGACAGTTCCTAACACTGAAACTCAAATTTCCGATGCACCACTGCTCTTATGTTTTTAGTTGAGGAATATGCACATTGTAATACCTACTTTCCGAAAATGAACTATAACTAATAATCTAGCTTCGGGAACAAATCAAGAGCAGTACACACAACTTCAATTAAATTGCAAGCATGCTATAAGGCGAGTTGATTGTACACTTAAGACAATTCGCATAAGCTAACACATACTCACGAGAGATATTAGATTGTCAAATCTCATGAAATACAAATTAAAATCGCATTGGATCAAGTCTTCATACCAGAAATCGAATAAGAAATTTCCAAAAATGTGGTCAACCGCGCATCAAAACAAGCAAAAGCGTCTGTACATACAAAGTCTCCAAGATCTGATCCTAGAAATTACCATCAAAGAAAAGCCTAAGCGAATTTACCTGCAAAGCTTTCACGAAATTCTTGCTTCTCTCCATTGACATCTCATCAAACGTCATAGCCGGATTCTCCGGCCTCAATTGCTCCACCTCCATTCTCCACGGAACAAAGTTGCAGTTACACTTTCGGAAGCCCAAGCCTTACAATCAATAACTGAAACACATTTCACAAAGAGAAATCCAGGATTGCATTATTAGTAGAATTTTATATATTGAATTAGCAACGGAATAATTTGTTAGATTTGGAGTTTAAAACAAGGTAGGGGTCTTCTGTGTGTAGAAGAAGCAACCCCGGGAAGCGGGTTGGAAGTTAAAAAGGGCGGAGAAGTGGGGCTTGAAAGCGACGTCGTACTTTGTGCGCAGCAGGAAATCAAGGTGGTTGAACTGTAGCAGACCTGCTACAAAGAGAGATTTCTATGCTTTTGGGAATTCGTACATTTCGGACCATTCGGGGCAACTGCCGTTTAGCTTGCATTTGCTTTGGAGGGGTGTTTTCGTCTTTTTACGAATTTTGTATTTCATAATATATGTAGCACAAATTGTGAAAATAAATTCAATTAAACGTGACCTTGTATTTAAATTAATTTATTATTAATGTCATTTAATTGTTAGTTATACTAGTGCTTATCATTAATGTTGCTAAATATCATTACTATTTTTTTAGTGCTATCGCAATGAAATCTTCTAAATAATTTTTTATTGTAGCATTTATACCTCTTAACTTTTTTTTAACATTTTTTTATCTTCAACTTCAATTAGTTAACACATCTTATCTCTATCTGTTGGGTGCAGGGCGGACCCATTAAGTCGGTTGTCCTCACTAAATTTCCAAAAACCTTCAATTGAACGTTTCTTAATTTAAATTTTCAGATTTTTTGATTTCTTTTACAATTTATTTTAGTCCATTTTCTACCTCGTCCCCACTGAACCATAATTTTTGGGTCCACCTGTGGTTGGGATGGTGTAAATTAACAGTTTTGTGAGTTTAAAGTCTAAAGAAAAAAATCGTGGCCAATTATATATTCACCATGGTGTGTCTAAATCTCAAATTCATTTATTTTATCAAGATTGCTGATGTTGCTATCATTGCTCCATTAAGGTCTTGTTTGATCCTCATTATTTTCTCATTAAAATGAAAAATATGGTCGTTATCCATCATATCAAACCATCATATTTGATTTTTTATCTCTTGTGTGGGGTTCATAACGACTATATTTTTTATTCTCATTTTTACAATAATGTGGCTCAAATGGGGGCTAAATTCTAAAAAAATATATTACAGGCTAAGTATAGTCTCGAATTGAAAGATTTGAATCGATATACATTCAGTGTTATCTCTCTTACTCTTCCGTTTATGAACAATAATCACTTGTAACAATTTCACACACCTTTCAGAATAAGAAGAGTTCGAGCATTAGTTGCAAGTTCAACGAAATTTTGAACATTTTTTTAATAACAAGCATTGCTAGTGTTTAGAAGCCTTGGGAGAGTATGACAATGGTTATTTGGACCGATCGTAGCATCCCACAAGTACCGTTGGAGAGCAAGGTCGATTTGATGGTACTTCATAGCACAAACTCTATAAAAATGGGAAGATTTATGAGCACCGGATTCACAACATTGCTTTAAATGCACCAACAAAGTTTCAAGTTCGGAGTGATGTGTACCTTTTTCATTCCGTAATGTGCTTAGAGCATGTGTTATATAATGTTAGATCGTATTGTATTATACAATATACAAAAATTGAAATGTGTGATCCACTTTAAGCACTCGAAATTATGTCCGTCTAATATGGCTTTTGAAATCTAAAAACTGCTTTTGAACTCGTTTGATATTTTTTATGAAAATACTTCTTCTAATTAGAAGAACTTTTAGTTTCTAATTTTATGAAAGATCTTCTAGGAATTAGTTTCTAAACAAAAATTAAGATCGCTTTCTCATAAAGTTTTTCTTCTAGAAGTAAAAGTCATGTCAAATGAATCCATTTGATACTGTTTCTTATAGAAAAACTCCCAAGAAAGCAATCTGCTTTAGTCTAATTTTCTTTAAAAGCACTCCTAATCAGATAAATTACTTTCAGAAAATTCTTCGAATATGTTCATAAGCATCTTCTTAGTCTCAAGAACAATTTTTGACTTGTCAAAAACCCTATCAAATGAACCCTAAATATATGAGATATTAATGGCTTGAGAACATTGTCTTCTACTATTTGGACATTCTTTTTGCCAAATACATGACATCTAGCTTTTTTGGTTTCAATTATAAGTTAGTTTTACATAATGGAATTCAAGAAGATCATGCATAACCTAGATGTAGAACAAAAAGTTTGTGCTCAACCATCCTGTCTCGATTCATTCAACCAGTGGTCAAGGGCCTAAACAAGCTTTCACATATAGTGATGAGTGATCTATTATTTGTGATTATTTGGAGTGAATTTTTTATTTTTATTTTGGAAAATTTGTGATTATATACATCAAACGCTTTGTACATCTGAAGAGATCCTTTCTCATGATCAAGTTTGTGTTATGGTTATCTTCAATGTTTCAGATTTCTAATTGAGAGTTTTTGTTTGGGAAAAATATTTGGTGAAAAATGATTATTTTTGAATAATGTGTAGTTAAAATATAAGAAAAATTATGATTTTGCGAACAAAATTATTTTAGTAGGAGTGTGATTGAAAATGATTTTGAGAAAATATAATGTGCTAAACAAATGCTACTTTAGACGGTCTAAGAGAAGCTGTAAAAATGAAAATTTGTAGAGCTCTGCTACATGGAGAGAGCCTACGCATCCAGGGGGCAATGTGGCGCCCCTATTGACTCAGTGTCTGTGACCCTGTTCGAGAAGCATAACTCAGATATTTAAGTGGCGTTTCAGCATGCATGTTTGACATCAGCCCAAAATAGTGGTAAAATAGAGACGCCTTTGGATTCTGGGGTTCTAAGATGACAAGATTTGTCCCATAAACCAGTAGATGATGGGGATTGACTTGTCCAATTGAGTTCACACTATGATCATAGTTCAAATAGCTTTTGAAACTGTTGATATAATGAAATGGTCTTGATGGATTGCTCAGCCACATATATATGGCATAGCCCCCAAATAGTAGCTATTATAGTTTAGAAGTTCGTGTAATGTGAAAAGTACACATAATTAAGAAAAAATAAGGTAAAATCTTGTAGATATATTAGTTTTGTTTCTTTTGTTGAAGTTTTTTTATGGGTTCATAGATAATTTAATGAGAAGTGCTACAGGTATATAAACATATACCATAGAGATATTCATAATACTACGTGGCACTCTATCATTTGTCTGTTTAAAACACAATCAACTTTTTCAACCAATCTTTTCCTTCCACATCACATTATGTCATCGTTTACGTATATTTATTATGTACACTTAGCAAAATCCTAATTTAATTAGCCCCAACCCTATAAAATGGTATGCACCTTAGGCATGGCTCAGCACAAGATCAATATAGCTTACTAAATTATCATATGGCTCCTAAGAAATCAGCTGTAATTCTTCCACTAGTAATATTAATGCTAGTGGTGAGTTCTGAAGCTGGAGAAATTGCTATCTATTGGGGAAAGAATGGAAATGAGAGGACATTGGGTTATAAATGGCACTGGAAACCATCAATTTGGGATCTTAGCATTCCTAGCTAAATTTGGCAATGAACAGACACCAATAATCAATCTAGCTGGGCGCTGTGATCCAGACAGTAATGGATGCACCAGATTGAGCCCTGTATCTGGTCGTGTCAAGCCAAAGGAATCAAAGTAATGCTTTCTACGGGAGGGGCGGATGGATATTACCTCGCCTCCTCAGGGGACACGAGACAAGTTGCTATTTACCTCTTGAACAACTAAGGTGGAACTGCTCAGCACTGGGATGAACTCACAAGGTACCTTTCCCAATACAGCGCATGAGGAAAGAAGGTTTATTTAACAGCAGCTCCTCAATGCCCATACCCAGATGCATGGGAGGAGGTGCCTTAAAAGCAGGCCTTTTCGACTACTTTTGCGTTCAATTTTACAATAACTCGCCTTGTCAATACTCTTCTAGAAAAGCTGCAAATCTCAAAAATGCATGGAAACAATGGATTTCATCTTTTCCTGCTAAAATGAATTTCCTAGGACTACCAGTAGCACCAGATGCAGCTGGGAGTGGCTTTATTCCTGCAAATGTTCTGATTTCAAAATTTCTTCCCACTCTTAAAAGGTTCTAACAAGTATGAAGGTGTAATGCTTTGGTCCAAATACTATGATAATCAAACTGGCTACAGTTCTTCCATTACAGCCCATGTATGAAACGTGTGTAATGATTAATGAAGTGAAAAACTATAATCTAGCAAGACTTTCTGTATCCATGTTTACGTTTTCTGGTACTTAAAAGATGGTTGTCATGGCTACATTTCAAGAACAATTAGGCTGTCAATTGTAGACTATAAGAGCATGTTTGGCTAGTCAAACATGTTCAAATCATAAAACTTAAGTCTTAAGAAATTTTTCCTTCCAAACACGTTTGGCTTTTCTTTAAAAGATATTTACTTTAGTACAAGAGGTTTATATGATGTTACTTTTATTAGAGTTGGTTTCCTTACTTCTTAAGAAAGTGTGCTTCTTTTCTAAGCTTAGTCAAACATGTTATTGTTACACTAGGTTATTCCTTCCACCACCAACCTACAGATAAGAGATTAGCTCGACTGACTTTTCATATCTACCCAAAAGCAATCTACTTATTACACTTTTGCACCCACGATCCTTTCCAAAGCATGAAGCCATTAGCAACATATAAATGCATTCATTCCATATAAATTGGTCAAGTTATTTACTGGTGCAGTAAATACAATTGGCCTGAGATCAGCGTATTCGCGAAGTACAAAGCTCCATATACAAAAATCTCTATATGGTAGTGTAACTAAAGAAACAGTAGTATATAAACAGAATGATATTAGTACTATTTCAGAATCAACAGGAAAAATTATTCTTAAAATTATCAAAAGAAAGCTTCTCATCAGTGCAATCTGTCTACCATATTCAACAACTAGTAGGATTATTACACCTTGAGAAGCTTTGAACAGAATCAAACGAATCATAAAAAACTTTCAGACGTTACCATGGAATCCTCATCCATGAGTGTTGACAGCTTCCCAGAGCAAATTTTTTGGAATAGGATTGGAGAAATCCCGAGCCTCCAAGGCAGCGGCCCTGAGTGTCCTTAGGGTCCAAACATTGGCCTCAAAGAAGGACAAACTCCGATAAGGCAAGTTGTGTTTCTTGCATAGTTCCCGAACCACAGGAGAAATATTTCTCAAGTGGCACCTTGGCAGCCTCGGGAACAAATGATGTTCTAGCTGGAATTGTAATCCACCGAAAAACCAATCCATCCAAGATGAGCACGCGATGTCGATTGTTCCACTTGTTTGTTTCTCGAACCAATCATTCCCCTTGGGCGCTCCTACATAAACATTTGCTGCGAAATGGTTCAGAGTGAATTGGATATGTTGAACTGAGCATACACAAAAGCTTGTCAGAACAAACAATACCCTCTCATTCCAATTTGGCAAGCACGAAACAAGAAGAGGAAACCAACTCCAAAAAACAAAGATCCCGAATATGTTAAATGCCCTGTCGGGAACTTTTCTCTTCGAGAACAACAAGAGGATCGTCTGCAGATAAAGATTGACCCTTGCAACACACATTACTGGATAGTAAGTAATATGCTGGTAACTCACAAAAAATCTTGACACCGAATCAAATGTCAGTTTTCTACCATAAAACTGGGATGTCAACGAGTGAAACAACTTTGAAGAGACTGCCAACATCGGCAGGTGTTGAAGATCGGGATCATAGTCAAGGCTATTGCAAGAAATATGGTGAGCATTATGAGTCCATTTCCACCAAGCAATACTTATTCCAGTCAAGCAATTGCCGGTGAGAATTTGATCTTGACACCGAATCAAATGTCAGTTTTCTACCATAAAACTGGGATGTCAACGAGTGAAACAACTTTGAAGAGACTGCCAACATTGGCAAGTGTTGAAGATCGGGATCATAGTCAAGGCTATTGCAAGAAATATGGTGAGCATTATGAGTCCATTTCCACCAAGCAATACTTATTCCAGTCAAGCAATTGCCGGTGAGAATTTGGGCAAATTTATTGAATCCACGGGTCGTCATAATCTGATAATGACCCGAATCATGACCCAAATAAGCGACTTGCATCCATAGAAGCCCCAGCAATCCTCCAGAAAACATATGGATCCAGAAACCATCGCAACACAATACCCCATAAACACAGGTGAAAAGTAACAACGCAACAAAACACAGGGAATAAATAACTCCATGGCCTTTTTTTTCAAACATCCCTGCTTTCGAAAACTCAGAATGAAGCTTTCTAAAATCCCTAGAAACCTCAGAAACCTTGAAATCACCCAGATAATACCCAGTAAAGAATCTATCAAGATATTGCCAGGCAGTACCTGGATGAAAAGCAACGAATGCATCAGTCACATCTTGGCCAGCCAAATTCAGGAGTGGGACATCCCCACCTGGGTGTTCCTTAGCCCAATCTGTCACGTTGTAAACCTTCCCCTGAATCGAAATCCACAAATCTTCAGATTTGTTATGTTTCTTCAGTTCATCAGATGAAATATACTTCTTGCTATCACCCATTGAAGAAAAACGAATCCAATCAAATCAAATCAAGGAAATTCAAGAACAAAAGAAAAAAACAACAGATTTGTGTGCCCAAAAAATTTCCCAGATTCAAAATCCAAAATCAAATCCAACCCCCAAATGCCAATAAAATGGAAATGGGTTTTGTTTAAATCAAAACAGCCCCTCAAGAGGTTGTTTTGATTATGCCATTCTCTATCTTTTCCCTTTCTCTTTGATTTGGAGAGACGAAATTTTCTCTTTTCTTGTTGGGTTATTCTCTATTTTATAGATAGTTGCATTGTTTGTGAAAACGGTGTCCTCAGCATATTTCGCGTGGTTGGTGTTGTCGTGCTTCCAAACCTACGATATATTAATTAATTAATTATTTGTCCGGTTAGACTCTCTTCACATTACGTTGGATATATATTAACCATAAATGGAACTAAGTCATTAATTAAAGGTCTTAACCAAATAGGGTTAGCAGTCAACAAAGTCAAACTTATCAAACTTCTAATTTTTTAATCATGATGATATATTTTTTTTCCCCCTAAATGGGTCTATTTTTACATCTTATTCATTACATCATCGAGTCTTTATATCAATTAGCCCATATTTTAGTATCATTTTTTTTTTTTAAATAAATTTGTGTAAAGTATTTTTATGGGAGAATGTGTTTGGCTATATATCAAAAGAAGCAAACTCTATTTTTAATTTTAAGTAACTTTTACACTAATTTAATTTAAAAACTTAACATTATAGGGGAAAAAAAATTATTAGTTCAAAAGGTACCTTATAAATAATGTTTGATTAAAAAAAAATGCTAACATAATAAATAGTTTGATTTTGCTTTTGAGGATAAATTTAATGGCATCAATGAAACAGAGTTAAAAGAACAAATTTAAGGTTTCTAACAGGGTGTCATCGGTTGAAATGGATTTTAAAAGTTCCAAATTTGGGTGTTAGTATTTATAATGGGATGAATAGTATTTTTTTTAAAAAAATGAGTGGTTGAAAATTATTTGATTTACGTGTAATATTATTTTATTAAGATTGTGTGGTTAAAAGTAGGATAGAGAAAATTTTAATTTAATGTAATGAGAAATAATGGAGCTCAAACGGGGGCTTAAGATTTTTAATGGATTATATTAGGGCCTGTTTGGGCCCCATTTTTCATCCAAAAAATTGATTTTTTGACCGTTATTTCACTATTTCAGCCATCATATTTGACTTCTTCTCTCACGGATGGACCCCACTTTTCTTCTAACGATCAAAAAATCAATTCTCAAAATCACTCCCAAACAGCCTCTAAATCTTCATTAAAATCTAAGTGTTCCGAATTGAAATTTTAATGAACTTCAATAAAATCTTTAAAAACTTAGATATCCTCAATAACATGTGGATTTAAAAGAATCTTATTAATAAAGAAATTTCAAAATTTGGATACATTTCAAACTTAAAAATTTACATGACAAACTTTTTTAAAATAAGATTCTTATGAATTCTAAAGAAATCTGATTCATTATCTATAATCTTTTAAAATTCATTAAAAAGTTAGTTAAGTACATCCCTATAATTCTTTTGGTTGTTTCTTTAGTATGTTCAAGATATGTGATGTTAAGGATTTCAATTATGGACTGCACTAGGTGTACAGAAAGGATTTTCACAGAATCCATACAGAATACACACAAATAGGTGGGTCTCAGTTTTTTGGCAATATTTAATTTACATGGGTCTCACAATTTACGTGAGAATCTGCACAACTTCTGTGATAGTTTTTTTTTTTTTTGTACAGATGCTTTTTCCCTTCAATTATTTTGCAACCTTAATTGCTGTAATATTTTAATCCTGTACTCAAAAGTAATCTTTAGAGACTCCTTTTTCACATTTTCAAAGATTCTGATATTTTTCAATTCAATATGTTAATTATATTAAGGAAGACAGAGCAGTATCAAACTAAAATAAGGGTTGATGCCTGGAATATATAGACAATGATGACACATATTTAAAATATATTTGATTTTAACGTACTAAACTTTGATGGTCGAATTAGACGTTATTCCCAATATTATGTTAAGAGGATATTTTGATCGAATATATGCTAATATATTTACACGTGACAAGTTGCTTACATTTTTCAAATTTATTCTTTTGGTAACTATAGTGGGAGGCTCGGGAAGAGAATAGAAGATGAGGAAGGCTTTGAGAAGGATGGGCGACGCTCTGGGCAGTTGGTTTTTATTTTTTATTTTTTTTTCTTTCTCATTTTTGAAAGTGTTATTGAGAGAATGAAGAAAACAACTCAAAAAAGAAGCAACCTGCAAGAAGTGTGGATTATTAGTAGAAAAGGAGACAACTTGTATTTTGGGATGACCAACTTGCATCGAAAGTTTTAAGTTTGAGAACCTAATAGTATTGATCGATGCCCCATATACTATATTTTTCAAATTTTGAAGACCATATTGGCCAATTTATAGAAATCAACAAAAGTTATTGGTAACTTTTTGCTAGAGGTAGGCTAAATATCCATCTAACTGATCTAAACTGTTAAATTGAACCGACATGGATCGATTTAAAAGAATATTAGACGGAGCCAATCATTAGTTCCCAACCGTGGGGTGAATGGAATCCGATATATAGATCCATTAATAAAAGAATTGAAAAAACTTTTACCGTGTCGCTTAAGTTATATAGGAATTCCTGAGCCCAAGTGGCCATGCTTAAGGGCATATCAATTGAAGTAAATTCTTCTTTTTTATCTTGATAGCAAAAAAGACTTTTTACATAATTTGAATTCAAGACATTTGATTACTTTTTTTTCTTTTTTCTTTTTAAGAAAAAAGTGAGCAATTTATTAATGTTATGCTTGTTCCTGAAGTAGAAACCAATCTATTTGTTTCTGAATAGCTTCTTTCAAAAGGACTTCTGCCTCCTCGGTAAATGTCTTTCGGGTTGGGTTGAACCAACTTTAAAACCTCGGTTTGAAGGGTCAAATTTGAAAAAAAAAAAAAATTTATTTTCGAGGGAAGTCCCTTGAACCCAACGAACCAAGCCAATCCAAACCGACTCGATCGGTTTACTTATCTTGTCAATTTGGGTTCGGGTTGGAATTTTCACCTAACCTAAACTTGGTTTGGTTGTCGGGTTTTGGTCTAAGCCCAATTCTTGCTTGATGCCACCCCTAGTTTTTGCTGAGAACAAAATTCTGAATGAGTAAAAATGCAATATTACTCTTAATATGTTAATCTTTTAGGATGAAACCTCAAAACTTAATATGGTATTAAAATCAACAAGTTCAAACGAGCAATTGAATTCTAAAATTGATGTTCTCATACCAGTCACCGTCTTGTTGTGCATGCTCATGTTAAAATTCCACACCAATCAAAACGTGGAATTATTCCATTTTCATAAGCAAAAAGCCCACTAAACTATTTTTTCGAGGAAAAAAAAAACTCAGAAACTTCCTTAAAATCTACTTCTTGACAGTCAACATTAATGCCTATTGAAAACAATAAACTAAAGTTTCTTCTCGACAAAAATTCAGTACAATATCTTTCTGTATGCCCCAACAGTCAACATAAATGCCTATTGAAAACAAAAGGGGCATTTAGCCCTCGTTTGAACCAATTTTGGGGGGAAATTACATTTTTGAATAATGTATTGTTGAAAAATGTGTGATTAAAAATTAAAGAAAATTTTAAATTCAAATATAATATTATTTTATTAAACAATATATAATTAAAATAATATCAAAATACTATTTAAAAATGTATTTTTTTTCGAAAGAATCAATCAATCACTCCAACGGACTGCATTGCCACTCTTTCTCTCTCCAGTTTACGGACGCATGGCTGCCCATTTTTCAAGTTTGTATTGGTGTACATATTGCTTGAAAAGAACTGTACCTCGTTAAATTAATGATAACCACTAGAATTGTTGGTGGAAATTAAATCTTGAAATTTTTGTACTTGTCTCATTCTTTCGTATATATGACATAGATGGTTCGGTGTGTCAAATTCAATTATGTTTAGAGATAATCTATATAAGTTTTTGTGCATACATTGTTTACATCTGAAATTCTGCTCTATTATGCATATTCCCGTTCAACTTGTCATTGCAACTATTAATATTTCACTCATTAAACTTCCTCAATTTGGACAAACATATTCCATAATATTATTTTGTTTGTATCTTTGCAGGTCGCATTCAGGACAAAAGTTTTTCACCCGAATATAAACAGCAACGGTAGTATATGTCTCGACATTCTAAAGGAGCAATGGAGTCCTGCCTTGACAATTTCCAAGGTTATCTTCTTCTTTTTTTTCTTTTTTTTTTTTCCCCCTTATGAGGTTTCTTCTTGTTTATTTGAGACTTGATGAGTCCTGCTCAAGTTTCCACCTTCTTTTTCCACATGAGGTTCTTCTCCGAAAATTTGGGATGCTGTGTTCCTGATATTTTTGGATGCGTAAAGCTGTAAACCTTTGTGTCCCGAAAATTTTGTTGTTTTGTTGTTTGGTGATTTCTGCCAATCCAGGCAGAGTTCATTTTTAAAACATTTCCCTTTGTTTTTCCTTTTTGCACTATTTTAAGTGCATATTTGACTAACCTAAAAAACTTATCAGTAAATGAGTAAGTTCTAGAATAAATACTTATCATGTTGGTTATTTTGTTATAAGTTGCTTTGCTGAATGTAACTTCAACTTTAGTGTCAAAATGAAAATTTCTTTTACTTATAAGTTGGGAATACTATCTCGGCAAGTTTGGAAACAAAATGTTTAAGTAACTTTTAGGCTTATTTAAATGTTGGAAGTTGTCAAAGTTGCATTCCATGTGTTAACTGCTGCTGCATGATTCCCTGCATAAACATAGTCCTCGGTCACTGATTGAAGTGCTAAGACCCGATTTAATGCTGTTGTCCAAAGATATCCTTTCAAATTCAAATGTTGCTCTTCTTAACACGTGCATATTATTAATTATCACCATTGCTTATTATTTCGCAAGGTTGGAATTGTTAAACAAGGTGCAATATATTATATATCAATCTAACTCTATGATACAAAGTGTAAAAACCCTGAACAAGGGAAAAGACTAAACTATTCTTAATTAATAAAAGAAAAAGATACTAACTACTATAGTATCTATAACCCCATAAAACCCCTAAGATTATCTCAAGGGAAAAGAATAAACCATCCTTGATAAAGAAACCTGAATCTAGTAGTATCTAAAAGGAAGATTCTTATATATATTCGCAGGTGTTGCTCTCGATCTGTTCACTTTTAACGGATCCAAACCCGGATGATCCCTTGGTGCCAGAGATTGCCCACATGTACAAAACTGACAAGGCCAAGTACGAGCAAACTGCAAGGAGCTGGACTCAGAAATATGCAATGGGTTAGTGTGATTTTCCTTGAGGGCAGCTTATATTATGTAGAAAATGATGTCTGTTCTGTCATCTCTTCTTGTAATGGACAAGTGTATAATATAGCTTTGAATTGTTTCTCTGTTGGAAGACAGATTATGCTTTGAATTGTTCACGTGGAAACACTATTTGAGAAAAGACTAATATTATTTGTTAGTCTTGTTTAAGGGTAACTTTGAGCAATGCTCTTAACTTAAATTGATTTATATATTATTGTGAAACCGAGTACCAAAGCCTATTATTACTGTGTAGTTCTCTGTGTGCGCCGTTTACATATTGTTTGTTAGTCATGTTTTCTTTGTGCACGCGCGTATAATGTTTGTTAATCCTGTTTTTACTTAAAATTGATTACTATATTACTGTGCAACCGAGAAACAAAGCATGTCTTTACAGAGTTTTTGCATGTGCGCGTCTTCTTTGGGACGAGCTTGTGATAGGGACAATAATTGAAGTTCTCTTACGACATTTGAGATAAACTGGCAAAAAAGTTAGAATTGGCTCTTCTACTTTTGCTCCATAATTTAAAATAAGAAGTTTTGTGCTCAAACAATGTCTCAATCCATGTCAACCGTTGACGAATGCCAACACAGCTACCGTTTCTATCCCTAAGCTTTCGCGTATGGTGATCGGATTGGATTTAGCTTCTTGTTATGTTTATCTTCGATGTTTCGGATATCTAATAGGAAGATTACTTTTGATGGATTATTTGGACTTATCTAATTAGAATTTTTAATTTTTATCGTGATTTTTTGCATTGTCTATTCTTTGTGATTCTTTCGATGACCTATGTTGTATTAAAGTAAATAATTTGACTCGAGAACATTAATATTCATCTGGTTCAAGAAATTTTTAGGCCCCAATATACAAAATCAGCGGTCAATTATCAAGAAAATTTGGAGTTAAACCACCTTCCAAGGCACTTGAAGTTTGTCAACAAAAATATATTTGAGTAAAATACTATTTAGGCTAGATATCATTGTTCTCTGTATTTTGATTTGGAAACTTGGAAATATACAATACAAAATAAAATAATATAATTGTATAGGTGAAGGAGAATCAGACCACAATTAGAAAACAAGAATGACGTTTAATAAAGAATGCCTAAAATCAAACATGGTTCAAATTCTATACGATAACTGTTTCCTTATACTATAATAAGTAATAACACATCAGTTGAAATTTAATAGTAGCTTTAATAATTTTGTCAATCATGATAACGTGAACTATATTGTACAGAACAGTATTATCAAGAAAGATAAGTTTACATAACAGCAATGTAAGATAGAGGTGCCTTTTATTCACCGAATTCTCTAATCTTGTCCTACAATGCATAACAAACATGCCCCCGGCCTGCGTGATTTGTACCCTAAACCACAGGACAAAGAAGGCTGACTACCTCCACTAAATATTAATAGATATTTTCTTTGTTTTCGTGTTTTGTTGAATTTTTTAATGGCTAATAAGTTAATAAGCTCCAACACCATAAAAGGGTATATGTACCTTAGGCATGGTTTAACACAAGATCATTAGGTCAATATAGCTTACTAAAAATCATATGGCTCTTAAGAAATCAGCTTTGATTCTTCGACTCTGAAGCTGGAGGAATTGCTATCTATTGGGGACAGAATGGAAATGAAGGGACATTGGCTCAAACTTGTGCCACTGGAAACTATCAATTTGTGATCATAGCATTCCTGGCAACATTTGGCAATGGACAAACACAAATGATCAATCTAGCTGGACATTGTGATCCGTTACAGTAACGGATGCAACAGATTGAGCTCTGATATCCGGTCGTGTCAAGTCAAAGGAATCAAAGTAATGCTTTCTATTGGAGGAGGAGTGGGTAGCTATTACCTCGCCTCCTCAGAGGACACGAGACAAATTGCTACTTACCTCTGGAACAAATTCTTGGGTGGACAATCCTCGTCTCGTCCTCTAGGTGAAGCTGTTTTGGATGGAATCGACTTTGATATCGAAGGTGGGACCTCTCAACACTGGGATGAACTTGCGAAGTACCTTTCTCAGTACAGTACTCGGGGTAAGAAGGTTTGCTTAACGGCAGCTCCTCAATGCCCATTTCCAGATGCATGGAAGGGAGGTGCCTTGAAAACGGGCCTTTTCAATTATGCATGGGTTCAATTTTACAATAACCCTCCTTGTCAATACTCTTCGGGGATGCATGGAAACAATGGATCTCATCTATTCATGCCACAAATATTTTCCTAGGACTACCAGCAGCACCAGATGCAGCTGGGAGTGGCTTCATTCCTGCTAATGTTCTGGTTTCAAAAGTTCTTCCAACTCTTAAGGTTCTAACAAGTATGGAAGTGTTATGATCTGGTCCAAATACTATGATGATCAAACTGGCTATTTTTCTTTGATTAAAGGCCATGTCTAAATGTGTATTATGACTATACTTTAGCAAGACGTCGTGTATTGTGTATATTTTCTTGTGCTGAATTAAAGATGGTTGCTGTTGCTACATTTCAAGAACAATTAGTCCACCGGTTGCTGTGTTTTATTACCAGAAGGTCTGGACAAATCAATAAATAAATAAGATGTTTAGCTAAGCCAAAAAAAATTATGTAACTTGTACATTTTTAAGCTTAGCCAGAGTGCCAGACATTCTGAACCTCCAAAAGTTAATTCTAAGAATATTTTTTTTTCTTCCAATCATGTCTGGCTTTTCTTTAAAAGATACTTATTTTAGAATGGTCAAAAGGTTTTCAAAAGTGTTACACTGTTACTTCCTAAAGAAGTAAGCTTGCTACTTTTTAAGCTTAGCAAACATGTTATCGTTACAAGTCCACCAGGTTATCCACCCCACCGTTGCACTACTGGTCTGAGGGTTTCAAAGGTCTACCTCAACCTACATTTCAGTTCTACCCTAAAGCACTCTACTATTACACTTTTGCACACACAATCCTTTTCAAAGCATGAAGCTGCTAGCAACGTATAAAAGCATTACTTTCATGATAAAGTCATCTACTGGTGCAGTATATAAAATTTGGCCTGAGATCGGTATATTCAAAAAGTATAAAGCTATAGACCAAAATTTCTATATGGAATTGTAACAAAGGAACTGTAGTATGTGAACAGAATGATATTATTACTGTTTCAGAATTAACAGAAAAAAGTATTCTTAAAATTTTCGAAGGAAAGCCTTTCATGTGTGCAATATGTCTACCATATTCAATAACTAGTAGAATTATTGCATTACAACTTGAGAAGCTTTGAAACAGAGCCCAATTAATCGTAAAAATCTTTCAGGCGTTACCATGGAATCCTCATCCATGAGTGTTAACAGCTTCCCAGAGCAAATTCTTTGGAATAGAGTTGGAGAAATCCCGAGCCTCCAGGGCAGCAGTCCTTAGTGTTCTTAGAGTCCACACGTTGGCCTCGAAGAAGGATAAACTACGATAAGGCAAGTTGTGTTTCTTGCATAGTTCCCGAACCACAGGAGAAATATTTCTCAAGTGGCACCTTGGCAGCCTCGGGAACAAATGATGTTCTAGCTGGAATTGTAATCCACCGAAAAACCAATCCATCCAAGATGAGCACGTGATGTCGATTGTTCCACTTGTTTGTTTCTCGAACCAATCATTCCCCTTGGGCGCTCCTACATAAACATTTGCTGCGAAATGGTTCAGAGTGAATTGGATATGTTGAACTGAGCATACACAAAAGCTTGTCAGAACAAACAATACCCTCTCATTCCAATTTGGCAAGCACGAAACAAGAAGAGGAAACCAACTCCAAAAAACAAAGATCCCGAATATGTTAAATGCCCTGTCGGGAACTTTTCTCTTCGAGAACAACAAGAGGATCGTCTGCAGATAAAGATTGACCCTTGCAACACACATTACTGGATAGTAAGTAATATGCTGGTAACTCACAAAAAATCTTGACACCGAATCAAATGTCAGTTTTCTACCATAAAACTGGGATGTCAACGAGTGAAACAACTTTGAAGAGACTGCCAACATTGGCAAGTGTTGAAGATCGGGATCATAGTCAAGGCTATTGCAAGAAATATGGTGAGCATTATGAGTCCATTTCCACCAAGCAATACTTATTCCAGTCAAGCAATTGCCGGTGAGAATTTGAGCAAATTTATTGAATCCACGGGTCGTCATAATCTGATAATGACCCGAATCATGACCCAAATAAGCGACTTGCATCCATAGAAGCCCCAGCAATCCTCCAGAAAACATATGGATCCAGAAACCATCGCAACACAATACCCCATAAACACAGGTGAAAAGTAACAAAGCAACAAAACACAGGGAATAAATAACTCCATGGCCTTTTTTTTCAAACATCCCTGCTTTCGAAAACTCAGAATGAAGCTTTCTAAAATCCCTAGAAACCTCAGAAACCTTGAAATCACCCAGATAATACCCAGTAAAGAATCTATCAAGATATTGCCAGGCAGTACCTGGATGAAAAGCAACGAATGCATCAGTCACATCTTGGCCAGCCAAATTCAGGAGTGGGACATCCCCACCTGGGTGTTCCTTAGCCCAATCTGTCACGTTGTAAACCTTCCCCTGAATCGAAATCCACAAATCTTCAGATTTGTTATGTTTCTTCAGTTCATCAGATGAAATATACTTCTTGCTATCACCCATTGAAGAAAAACGAATCCAATCAAATCAAATCAAGGAAATTCAAGAACAAAAGAAAAAAACAACAGATTTGTGTGCCCAAAAAATTTCCCAGATTCAAAATCCAAAATCAAATCCAACCCCCAAATGCCAATAAAATGGAAATGGGTTTTGTTTAAATCAAAACAGCCCCTCAAGAGGTTGTTTTGATTATGCCATTCTCTATCTTTTCCCTTTCTCTTTGATTTGGAGAGACGAAATTTTCTCTTTTCTTGTTGGGTTATTCTCTATTTTATAGATAGTTGCATTGTTTGTGAAAACGGTGTCCTCAGCATATTTCGCGTGGTTGGTGTTGTCGTGCTTCCAAACCTACGATATATTAATTAATTAATTATTTGTCCGGTTAGACTCTCTTCACATTACGTTGGATATATATTAACCATAAATGGAACTAAGTCATTAATTAAAGGTCTTAACCAAATAGGGTTAGCAGTCAACAAAGTCAAACTTATCAAACTTCTAATTTTTTAATCATGATGATATATTTTTTTTCCCCCTAAATGGGTCTATTTTTACATCTTATTCATTACATCATCGAGTCTTTATATCAATTAGCCCATATTTTA